GATCAAGAGAGGTATTATTACCACTCTACACGACTCTGGTGTGCCCGCAATTGGAGTATTGTGTTCAGTTTTGGACCCCTCATTACAGAAAGGATATAGCCAGGTTGGAGTCAGTGCAGCGTAGGGCCACAAGGTTGGTGGCCAGTTTGCAGGATGCTGTATGAGGCGAGATTGAGGGAACTGGGTCTCTTCAGCCTGGAGAAGAGGAGACTCAGAGGGGATATGTTGGCGACATACAGGTATGTGAGGGGATGTTACATGGAGATGTGTAGAGACCTGTTCTCCCCTGCAGAGGAAGGCAGGACATGCTCCAATGGAGCAAAGCTCAGGGAGCCAAGGTTCCATTTGAATGCCAGGAAGCACTTCCTGACAGTCAGGACCCCGAGGGTGTGGAATGGGCTTCCACGAGAGGTCGTTGAGGCCCCATCGGTGTGGCTGTTCAAGGATAGGCTGGACGTCCACATGGTGGGCATGTCGTGACCGGAGCCGGCTGGTGCCAGAGGTCAGACTAGATAGCCCAGGAGACCCCTTCTGACTTGCTCTGTTTCTATGTTTCTAATAAACTGGGTGGCCTCTATTCCCATTGATATTCAGCTTATGTCTGTAACCCCTAACATGTTATTCATCAAAATCCTAATATTAATGGATTTGTGCATAATACATTAGAATAGAAACTTATGTTTGTGGTCTTTTATTGTTTACCTTGGAGCTCCATTCATCTGTTCTGCCTTTGATGCAGACTCTGGTTATTCTATTAGTTGGTCAAAGCTGGAACTCATGTCTATTGGAGATAATACACTCCACAGTGTGTTATCCAACTGGAAATTTAGACTTTGTGCTGAGTTATTACTTATCTAGGAATACTTGACATATCACACATTGTCAAGTTAAATTTGATTAGGTTGATTAATGAGATCTCAAGTAAATTAACATATAGGCATCTATATAGTTGGATTGAACCTCAACATTAAGAAAACTAAGATCATGGCATCTGGTCCTATCACTTCCTGGCAAATGGATGGGGAAGAAATGGACGTAGTGACAGATTTTATTTTCTTGGGCTCTAAGATCACCGTAGACAGTGACTGCAGCCAAGAAATTAAAAGACGCTTGCTCCTTGGGAGGAAAGCTATGGCAAATCTAGACAGCATACTAAAAAGCAGCGACATCACCCTGCCAACAAAAGTGTGTATAGTCAAGGCTATGGTTTTGCCAGTTGCAATGTATGGCTGTGAAAGCTGGACCATAAGGAAGGCTGAGTGCCGGAGAACTGAGGCCTTTGAATTGTGGTGCTGGAGAAGACTCCCGTGTGTCCCTTGGACTGCAAGGAGATCAAACCAGTCAGTCTTAGATGTGATCAACCCTGACTTGCCATTTAGAAGGCCAGATCCTGAAGATGAAACTCAAATACTTTGGACACCTAACGAGAAGGAAGGACTCAGTGGAGAAGAGCCTAATGCCAGGAACAATTGACGGGAAAGGAAGAAGGGGATGGCAGAGGATCAAGTGGCTAGATGGAGTCACTGAAGCAGTCAGTGAGAGCTTGGGTGAACTCCAGGGGTTGGTGGAGGACAGGAGAGCCTGGAGGAATGCTGTCCATGGGGTCATGATGGGTCGGACATGACTTCATGACTAACAACAACAAAATGGATAAATATATAGACATTTGG